TTGTCTACCTTGATGCCCACAACACCACCCTTAGATTTGATGACTTGGAGGAAGGGACGCCAATCATCCGCCTTCTGGTAGAGGGTCTCATGGAAGAGGATGACACCCCCGATGCAGGGGTTCACGCGGTCATCGGCGGTCAGCAGGAGCTGGCGGTAGAAGCGGCGGTTCTCCTCTGTGTTCTTGGTTCCAATGGACTGCAGGCGCTTGGCAATGCCTCTGGTGGACTCATCTGCGGCCAGGATGCCCTTGCCCGGAGCAACGATGCGGTGGGCGATGTCAGAGAGCTCCTTCTTCTGGTCTGGGGTCAGCGCAGGGTATGTGTAGGGCATGGTGTTCTCGGTGGTGATTTCCTGGGCGCTCACGGAGGAGGGGGCGCGCTCAGAGGCGGCGGGCGGTGGTGGGCTGGAGGGAGGAACGCGCCAGTCGTCCCAGCTCCGGATTCTGCAGCGCGTTCGGAAGGGACAACTACTTTTTAAAGAAGTTAGCAAAATTTCTTATTAAATTAATACGATTTATAATAATGTAAGGCAGAGAGAGAAAAGTCTTCTTCAAGACAACTTTGATTACATTAAGTAGTGGGAGGGCTTGTTGTGATTTCTTACAAAATCCTTAAAATCTATGAACAATTGACACCCTTCATTAAAATTATAACCCCAAATTAGTCATGAATATTATACTTTAAAAATATGTTAGCAACTGTGTAGGATAACAATCTGAAACAGGGGTGCATAGAGGGATGCGTTGGGGAGGGAAAAGAGGGGAGGAAGAAAATGTGCAACAATGAATTTAAAAAATATGTTAGCATCGTTTAGTACACACACACACACGTTAATCTCAATATCCGATCATATGCTAAAAAAAAGAAAGGCATTCTAAAATCACTTGGTGACAAGTTAGAACTTCCTTTTCATCTCTGAAAAAGATATTTATTTATTAACGTTAAAGCTTGTAAATGCTATTTGCTCTGTCAAAAGCTCATTGTATAAAATATCTGATCCTGCTAAACCCTGGTGTCAGTATAGGGTTTCTTTATCATCAATTAACGCTACAATAATTTTCCAGTTATTCCAACTCTTATCCACACCCATGAGGGAACTAAGCTTCTTGGGTGGGGCAGACAGCAAAGAACTTCGTATGAAAATTCTGATACTAAGAAGTATCTGTCAAGCCAAAGCACCTGGAAAAGCAGCACAGAGCAATTTAAATGAAACTGGAATCTGAATGTGTGACAAGGTCTGACTTCCAGCAAGTGAGGCCAACAGACACTTGCCAAAATTAATTATCTCAGAGATGATCCACATCAATAAGCAGCATCAAATTCACAGGTAAAGACCAAAATTGAGCACCATTTTTTTCTTTAAACATATACACTGTATAAACTGCAATTAATACCAGTAGTCAGATAATGAAGAAACATATGGTTCTAGGTCTTTCTATGAGAAGTACACAAGCCCTGCTGTTTAGTACTATCAAGTTGAAACCAATGCACAGCTGAAACCCCTGTGAATTTTCAGAGGTAGCAAATCACACAGAAGTAAATTATCCATTCTTTTCCCACAGAGTGGCAGGTGGTCTTGAACTGCTTGCCTTTGGGACTGCAGAACAACTTCTTAAACGTATGAAAATCAAGATATATTCCAAGACAGGAAAGAGTGAAGAAAGGCTAGTGAGCTGTAAAAAGTTTTCACTTCCTACAACCAGGAGAAGATAAAATAGATGAATGGGACCTTCTAAGAATCAAATCCCTAGGCACATCCAAAAACTTCTCCAACAGGGTAAAAAGAGAAGACACAGACTGGGAAAAAGTATTTGATAATAACATGTCAGATAAGGGACTTATATCTAGAATTTATAAAATACTTGAGCACCATAACAAGATAAAGGTAAATAATCCAATTGAAAAATGGGCACAGGATATGAACAGAAACTTCACCCAAGAAGACATTCAGATGCCGTACAATCACATGAAGAAATGTTCAAAATCCCTAGTTCTAAGAGAGATGCAAATCAAAACAACTGTGTGATATCATCTCACCCCAGTCAGAATAGCAAAATTTAACAGAACAGCAAGCAATAAATGCTGGCAAGGCTGTGGAGAGACTGGAACCCTTATTCACTGTTGGTGGAAGTGTAAAATGTGCAACCACTTTCTGAAGGCAGTATGGCACTTTCTCAAAAAGTTGCAAATAGAGATACTGTTTGACCCAGCAATTCTGCTACTGGCAATATACTGTAATCACCACCCAAGCAGATATATGCACACCCGTGTTTATGGTGGCACTGTTCACAATAGCAAGGAGTTGGAAACAACCTAAGTACCCATCAACAAACAAATGGATTGAGAAGCTGTGGTATATTCACACAATGGAATACTATGCTGCATTGACAAACAAGGAACTCATGCAATATTATTTAAAATGAGTGACCCTGGAGGACAAAGACAAATACTGCATGGTGCCACTGTTGTAAAACAGGACTGACATCAGGGTTGGGGGGAGACTGAGAAAGATGGGTTAAATAATATATTGCATTGAAACAGATGAGGGTGAAAACTGTTTAAAAGGGATATGTGATTAGGTATTTTTGCCATGGCAGGAGTCCAGAGCGAAGGCTGCATAGTGGAGTGGATTTTGGGGGAGGGACTGTAAAGCAATGATAGAATTTTTCTTTTACTTTTTAAAGAGACGAGTGTATTGGGGGGAGGTTTGGGAGGGGAGAAAAGTTCAACAATGAATGAATGAATGGAAATCCAAAGTCTGTAAATTTTCATTGAAATTAATAATAAATTCTAAAAAATGACAGGAAAAAAGGTTTTCACTTGTGGAGTTCTTCAAAGAAAATAAGAAAAGCTTATCATCTATGCTGCTTATTGAGTCTACTGTGATCTAATGGTAAATTGTTGCACTACCAACTCAAAGACAGGGATTTAGAATCCACCAGATACTCCTTGGGAGAAAGATGTGCAATTTCTTCTCTTGTATTTTGTAACCTTTGAAAACCTGCTAGAGAGGCAGCTATGAGATGGTTTGACTCAATATAGCAACGACAGCAGATGCTTAAGAATACAAGATATCATCTCCACATGAAAATGGATTTGAACAGAAAATTTCATTTCTTGAAAAAAACAAACAATACTCTGTTAATATGTCTTGTTGTTGTTCTTGTTAAGTACCATGGAGTCTACTATTACCCACAATGACTCAAAGAACAGCAGATCTTTAACTTGTCCTATCTTGTGCCATCCATGTCATCTTTGATGTATTTGAGCTTATTGTTACAATCACTGTGTCAATTCATCTTGTGGGGGATCTTCATCTCTTTGAAGAATATATATTTCCAAGGGTTGGTCATTCCTGACAGCATGTGCAAAGTGTATCCATTGAAATATGGAATACCCTGACTGCACTTCCTCCAAGACACATGTGTCTGTTCTTTTGGAAGTCCATATGATATTCAGAACTCTTCTTAAACACCACAATTAAAATCATGAATTCTTCTTCTGCCACCTTTATTCATTGTCCAACTTTTGGATGCATAGGAATTAATTGAAAAGACCATGGCTTAGATCAGGAACAACTTAGTCTTTAAACTGATGCCCTTGTTCTTTAGAATTTTGGAGAGGTATTTGACAATAGATTTTCCCAATGCAACAGGGTTTTGTTTTCTTAATTGTTGTTACCATGAGTGTTGACTGTTGATCCAAGAAAAATTAAGTCACTGATAAATCCAGTCTTTTCTCCATCTATCATGGTGTTGCTTATTGCTCCAGTGATGAAGATTTTTATTTTCTTAATGTTAAGATGTAACCCATATTGAAGTTGACCTTCTGCTACAAGCACCTTAAATCCTACTTGATTCCAGCAAGCAAGGTAGTGTGTCATTTGCAAAATGCAGGTTATTAACAAGTCTTCCTCCAAAGCTGATGCCACATCCTACTCATATAGTTCAGTTTCTACAATTATTTCTTCAGACTACAGATTATATATATATATATATATATTAAGAAAGTTACAGCCTTGACAAACAACTTTCCTGAGTTTAAAATATGCACTTTTCCTTTGTTCTCTTTGGACAACAGATTCTTGATCTGTGTATAATTCACAAGGGCACAGTTAAGTGTTCTGGTAGTCCTGTTTTTTTCAATTACATCCATAATTTGTTATGTTCTGCAGAGTCAAATGCCTTTGCATAGTCAATAAAGCAAAAATAAACATCTTTCTGATATTCTTTCTTTTCTTTCAGTCAACATCCATCTGACATTAGCAATCATATCCCTCATTCTATGGCCTCTTTTGAATGTAGCTGGAATTTCTGTCAGTTTCTCCTGTACATGTTGCTCATGGAAGCTCTAGTGGCTTACTGGTAAGAAGCTGTGCTACAAAAGCATGTGGTCAGTGCAGCCGGAATCCAGTGCAGCCAGGACCCAGCAGATCCAAGAGACAGGCCTGAGAGCCGAAATTTGAGTAAGGTCCCCACATGTGCTCAATTGGCGAGAGACTGCACGTGCTCCTGACCAGCCCTAGTGCCTGCCTCTAGATATCATGCCCTCTGCCCCCCTACACAACTTGCACAGTGCCCACCTACACATCGCATGCTGTGACCACATCTACAGTCTACACCTGGTGCCCACCTCTACACAACTCACCCTCTGCCTGCCTCCATATATAGCACATGATGTCCACTTCTACACGACACACTGAGCACCTGAATCTATGCACCGAGCCCAACGCCCACCTCTGTGCATCTCCCTGGTGCCTGCCTCTACGCTCTGCTCAGCACTACTCTCTACTCACTTTTACCCTCTACACACTTCTACTCAGTGACTTCAGATCAAGAACATATCATCACTTCAGGAATGAAAAACTCTACCACAGCAACATCATGAAATAATCAGGTCACCTCACAAGTTATGCAAGCACAAAGCAAGATGTCACCCCCCCCAAAAAAGTGATGCAGTACCAATGGATGTCCTAAAGCCAGAATGTCTGATGGAACTTTGATTGAATATTTTCAATGGGTGAAAGACACACTTGAAGAATTACAGGACACTGCAAGCAAGACCAAGGAGGAGCTTAAAACAAAACAATTCAAAACAATATAAATAAAACAAATGAGTCATTAGAGGCTCTGGGAAAACAAGAAACAGCGATCCAAAATAAGTAGTCCAATGTTTCAGATGTTGTCAACATGATGGAGAGACACATGAACAGAGTTGAAGAGAAGGAACACAGAACCAGTGAATTAGAAGATAAAATTGTCAGCACTATTCTGCTAGAACAAAAAGCAGAATCAAAATGGAAAGGAAAAACAAACAAACAAACAAAAACAA